TCCAGCAATAAAGTTGCCTGTCCCACGTCTTTCTTGTCGCGCCCAGTTTTTCGCCATGTGTCCCACCTTTTCATGCGTGTCAGATGCTTTAATGATGACGCCCCCTCGCCTAACGCGCCCGCTTGGAGTACCGTGCCATTTAATATCCCTGCCGCACGATCTAGCTTTAATCCGACGGTCTTCCTTCTTTCCCTTTTAATTTTCCCCATGTATAAAACCAGTACTTAGCGAAATTTCGGACTTTTTCCACCTTCGTCTTCCCCAAATTCCTTTGCATTCAAAGTTCTCCCTGCAAAAATCCTAGCTTCCGCCGGCGAATTTTCCTGCAATCTTCAAGCTTTTTCCTGATTCTCTCCTCCGTGATTATGAGTAAGTTGTTTTTTCTCCTGATTTTATATTTCCTGTGTCTGGGCTTTTGTATTTTGAGGAATTTTTCTCCTTTTTCTTTTTCGAATTGGGTATCCGAAGTTTGCTAATTGAGTGTCTTGAATCTGTGCATCGAATTTTGTGTTTGTCTGTTGGTCGCTGTAGATTTAGCTCTTCCCCTTTGAAATCCTTTCGGAATCTCTGTTCCCTCTCTTCAAAATAGCCCCTTTTCGTGGAACCCTAATTTTTAAAATCTTCTCCGCCTACCCTTTTCCTCTTTTTTGATATTGTTTCTTTCTTCTTTTGTTTTCAGATCCTGCTACCTCGACCACCTCCTCTGGTTCGGTCGAAATATTGCCGTCCGCCCTTGAAGTTGTTCTCCTCTCTATTCTTCGTCCTGGTGATACCGTCCCTACCCGCGTTTTCACTGCTCGTGTTGCTTCTCCCAATTCAGGGGATTCCATGGATAATATCCCTCTTCGTCGCCGCCGCCCTGCTTTTGGCTCGATGGATGAGCCTGAGGAGGACGAAGTTATTTCTTCTCAGCCCACTTTTCCCGCATCTTCAACCGTTCCTCCTTCTTCGAATTCTCCACCCAAGCAGTCCTCGGCCAAGAAGCTTTCCAAACGACCATCTTCTACCTCTCTATCTCACCCCTGGTTTAATCCCGATAAAATCGGCCAGCCTCTTGGTTGGGCATTCATTAGGTCTTCCCCTTCCGACCGATATGATAATCCCCCGCGAGACTGTTATCCTTTCTTCGAGGTCCAGTTCAAGCTTGGATTACGTTTTCCTTTGAGCCCCGATATAATCCGCATCTGCGAGTGGTTCTCGCTTTCCTTACACCAACTTCCTCCTAATGCCATCCGTTTTATCACCACCTTCATCATTCTCTGCCGCGTCCGTCTGGGTCGATTCGACCTAGACTTCTTCCACTATTGTTACTGCCCCTCTAAATTAGGCAGGGGTCTTTATCTGAAAAGTCGCAATGGTGCGCATTTCATCAACGACATCCCCTCCAACCTTCCCGGGTGGAGTGATAAATTCATTTTTGTTCGACCCGACGTCCCCTTGCCCTGGCCTTCCATTCCTTGGGTCAAGGATGTTTCTAAGGAGGCAGCATCGGCCCCTCCGTCATCTTCGACCAACGGATCCATGTTTGGAATTCCAAGACCGTTGCGTCTGAAAAACTCCTTCAGGACGAGAATCTTCTCCATTTCTGCGGTCTCCTCACTCATAAAACCCTTTCTCCACCCACCGAAGAGATCCTCGATCTCGTTCGACTCGATAATGACCCAGGTGATCTTCGATCAGTTAATTTGAGTGTCTCCGTGTATTTGTTTCTTTGTCGGGGTAAATACTAATGATGGTTTTGTTCTGCTTGGTGCGTTTGTGCAGAGGCTCCCAGTTTCAACATTCCCTTGAGGAAGGTGCCTCTGAAAAAGAAGACCGGGGGCACTTCTGGTTCAGCCGGGGGTCAGGCCGAGGGCTCGACCACTTCCTCGGGGTCTCGACCAGAGCCGCAGCCTCGATCGCCTCCCCGAGAGACTCCTTTACCTCCGCCTCCTCCTCCGGGGCCTCAGCAATCTCAACCAGAACAGCCACCACAACAACCTCTGCCGCACCAGCAACAACAACCGAAACAACAGGAACAACAACAACAACAAAAGCAAAAGCAGCAACAACACCAACAACGACCGCCACCTCCCAAGACCTCACAGCAGCTACCCCCCAAAACCTCGCAACAGCAACCTCCCAAGGGGAAATCTGACTCCCAGTCGAATTCCAAGTCATCGACCACCTCGAATCTGATCGACCAGCCACATAGATCCAGTGATCACCCGAAAACCGTTGACCGCTCTCAGGGATCAGACGACCGCTCGCAGAGGACCGACTCTCGGGCTCATAATCCTAAGGACAACCCCCAAGATCACCTCACTAAAAAATCCTCTGACTCCCACACCTCCTCCAAAACCAAAATCCCAGAGAAACTGCCGCTTGCCCACCAATCCTCCAAGACCACTCTCGTCGTATCGACCAAA